GCGTCGCTAGACCTTTTTCAGTGGGGGGTGTAGAGGCCAACAATTACCGACAAAACTAGCCACCAATTACCGACAAAATTAAATGTCCAATATCTACAAATTCAACCCTATAAACCTGGGGCCGAAGGCTAAATTGCTTTTCCTATGGACTATCTATAGTACTTGCATTATGCGCAAAATGGTCATTTTCCTCGACGACATAAATATACGAATTATTTCTTCTATTTAGTCAGCATCATAGCTATACATTTTAATGCAGGCGCGGAGCTAGGATCTTATTTTAGCGAGGGGCGGTAGTGAGCAAGAGAATCACTTTAAAGCGCGCTCATTAGTGGGGTGTGGGTGATGGGCCTCCCGCGCGAAGCGCGGAAGCTTAGACGTTTCCTTAAATTATTAGGAAAAGAAGACGATTAATTGTACCGTTTTCGACTGGTAATCCTTGGCTGTATGAAGTCCCCCCCCCCCCCCCTCCCGCGCTTTGCGCGGAAGCTTTGACGTTTCATTAAATTATGAGAAAAAGCAGACGTCGAGTCGGTGTACTGTTCTCGACTCTTAATCCTTATCTGAATGAAGCTTCCCCCTCCCGCGCGAAACGCGGAAGTTTTGACGTTTGATTAAAATATTAGAGAAAGAAGACGATTGGTCGTACCGTTTTCAACATTAATAACCCCTATTCATCTGAATTCAGTTTCCCCCTCTCGCGCGAAGCGCGAAAGCTTTGACGTTTCCTCATATTATTAGAGAAAGAACACGATTCGTTGTACCGTTTTGACTCCAAATAAGCCCTATTAATTTGTCTGTATTCAGTTTCCCCCTCTCGCGCGAAGTGCGGAAGCTTTGACGTTTCCTTAAATTATTGAAGAAAGAACACGATTCGTTGTACCGTTCTCGACTCGTCTAAATGAAGTTTTCCCCTTTTGCGCGAAGCGCGGAATTTTTGGCGTTTCATCACAATATAGAGAAAGGAAGACGATTCCTCGTACCGTTTTCGAATGTTATTAAGCCCTATTCATCTGAATTCAGTTTCTCTCTCTCTCGCGCGAGACGCGAAAGCTTTGAAACTTCCTCAAATTATTAGAGAAAGTACACGATTCGTTGTACCGTTTTCGACTCTAAATAAGCCCTGTTAATTTTGTCTGAATTCAGTTTCCCCTCTCGCGCGAAGCGCGGAAGCTTGGACGTTTCCTGAAATTATTAGAGAAAGAAGACAATTCGTTTCATATTTTCGACTCGTCTAAATGAAGTTTCCCCTTCCGCGCGAAGCGCGGAATTTTTGGCGTTTCATCACAAAGAAAGGAAGACGATTCGTCGTACCGTTGTTGACTCTTAAACCTTGTTTGAATTTAGTTTCCCCGAAAATGTTAAACCTCTGATTTCTTTAGCTGATATTATAGGCAAGTGAAACTTCGAGAAAATACAAGTATTGTAGTTGTAGTCACTCTCGAAGTCGTCACAGTGGATAAGTAGTCACAGTTCGTAGGGAAAAAAACTTGTCGGCCGACCGACAATATACATCTCACCGACTTCAAACTTCTGCATTGTTATAGTACACGAGGATCGAGCAAGAATACCGACAAAGCTGACCCGACACAGCAACATATTTACCCGTGTCTTTCTTGCTCCCTCGACGAGACGACTCCACCCAACAACCCCCTTCTCTCTTTTACTCCCACTCCTCCTCTCTCAGACTCTTACCTCCCCTCTCTCTCTTCTCTTTCATCCCCCGTTTCTTTTGTTTCCCTTTCACTCTTTTTTCTTCTTTTTTCCTTTTTTTTTCTTTTCTTTCTTTTCCTTTCTTTCCCCTCCTCCCTCTTTTTCTTTCTTCTCTTTTCTTTCCTTTCTTTTCCTTTCTTTCCTTTCTTTTCCTTTCTTTCTTTTCTTTTCCTTTTTTTTTCTTCTTTTCTTTTCCTTTTTTTTTCTTCTTTTCTTTCCCTTTTCTTCTTTTCTTTCCCTTTCCCTCTCTTTTTCCCCCTCTTTTTTTCCCTCTCTTTTTTTCCCTCTCTTTTTTTTCCCTCCCCCTTTTCTCTTTTTTCCCGACGGCAGCGCAATTTTACCGACAATATCCTGACAGGTGGGGGGGGGGGGTGTCGCACCCCCCCACACCCCCCCCCCCTTTGGCGACGCCCCTGTGTGTGTGTGTGTTCGTGTGTGTGGGCAAAATGATTATGATTTTATAGATAAAGAATTAAAAGAAATATTTGTTAGACCAAGAATTACTGTACGAGAATTTCAATTTAAATTATTGCATGGAGCCTGAAGCCATATATACTAATGAGCATCTTCATAGATTTGGTTTTGTTGGTGATAATTTATGTTCGTTTTGTAAGCAGAAAATAAAAACATACAAACATTTATTTTTATCTTGCAAGAGCGTTCAAAGGATATGGCAGGCTTTCATACAACTTTTTGAGTTAGATGAAATTTAAGATTTAGAATGGCGAGATATATTTGTTGGGTTTGCAGGTAGTTCATATAGAATAAAAATGTGTAATACTATAATTTTCATGGTGAAGTATGTTACATTTATGTCAAGTTCGGGGGGGGGGGGCGAGTACCAACTTTAGAAAAGATGAAAAAGGGTATTTTTAAGTATAAGGAGTATAGGGATGAGGAAAAGAAAATAGCCATTAGAATGGGAAAGCTGGGATCACATTTCTTAAAGTGGAAGCAGCTTAATATTAATTAAGATTTGTTTTCTTCTCCACCGTGAGCTTGTTAAAAGTGTAACTCTATTTTGCAGCCTGGTTAACTTACTTATTTAGTATATTTTTCTCAAGTTGAGAATGTTAGCAGACATCCACTGAGTGAGTAGTGTGTGTGGGGGGGGTGGGTGTGTGAATATGTGTGCGGGTGAGTGGGGTGTTTGTGTGAGGGAGGGGGGCAGGGAGGAGCAGACATTGTGTTTTTTTTTTGTATATATATATAAGTGAATAACATGTACAATTGACATATATATTATGTTTAGGTACATATACGTTTACTTTGATGCTAAGTTATATATATACTGCAAACAAGTTTGTTCAATTATGTTTATATATAAGCAATCAATATTGAAAACGTGTATTTTATTAAATTGTATGTCATTGTTTGTTTTACACATTTGGAGAAATAAAACAAAATTGCTTTAAATAAAAAAAAGTTGTATTTCAGTTGTCACTTTTTATGTAAACGAATTTCGTGAAAGATACAAATGGAGGTACAATAATATTCTTAGGTATATTCTAGAATCCCTCTCTCACGAACAAGTTTATGCCAATATTCAGGGTTTCACCGTTGCGTGCGGAACCATTCTAATACTGCTCCTACTCCTATTAACACTCCTACTAAATATATTGCTTGTCATGCACACACATGGTAAATTCACTATTAAAAAAGAGGACCTCAAGGCGAGTTGATATTCTCAAGAACATGTTTGTGTCCATTTTATTGAGCATAAAGCAGAGGCACACATTCATCAGTTTCTGCTAATAATTACACTTCCTAAAACATGAGATTCTCAATTTTATGGTGAAGTTGGCGAACTACTGAATTCAGTTTTACAATGATCAATGTCAGTAGAAAGGTTTACTATAGAGCAGACTGGCTAATCTCTCTCCAGAGCATCAAGTAAATCAAGTGAATGTTGAGACCTCATGTTGACCTACATTCTGTTTCTACCCTATCTGCACTAGTTTGGCCAGGAGGGACTAGACCTCCCTGCGTGGGCATTGACAGGTGGATATCTGATCAAATCAGCTCTCAACTAACATAAGAAAAAGGGGATCATGGGGGACCAAAACGTACCGCTTAGGCATTGTTGGCTATATAGAGGGCGCAAGTAGTGCAGTCCCGCTTAAAATAAGAAAAGAAAAAAAAGAGTTGAGCTTAAAGGTACTTAAAGGAATAACATGATATCAATCTGACATGGATCAAGAGAATATTGCAAGTACTCTAAAATATTGTAAGAGGCTCAAACGATCTTTACCGATACACAGGTCGTGGATCCTTGTTTGATATACGGTAGCTGCTGCTTTCCCCAAATGGAATGAATGAATAACAGAATATAGGGCCTGAATCACAAGACCCTGTGAAGATTATAGAGAGTAAAGAAACCTAACCAACATCTCACAAAGTAATGCTGCAAATATTCAGGTTGATATCAGAAACAGGATAGATTTATCACGATGTAAGAGGACAGTCACAAGGCTCCTTGCTACTCTCCTCAACACAAACATTTCTATTTCTCATAATTTCACATAGTACCTTAAAATGACCCATATTTAGCTATTTTTTTTGCAAAGTTGATCAAAATAAGCAAAATAAAGACACAAATATATTTAAAAATCTACTCAGTACAAAAGATATGAAGCTGTATGTATTGACACTCTTTAATAGATGTGGAGTCTAACACAGAGAATCTCTATTGCATATTAACACTTTAAGAAAAATGGGTCCCTGGTATCTTAAATGCACTCAGTATTTTCGCTCATAATCTAGAATGCTTTTTACTAAATTTATACTAACAATAATAATAATAATAATAATAATAATAATAATAATAATAATAATAATAATAATAATAATAATAATAATAATAATGGTAATACTGATAATTATAACAACAAATTATAATAATTATAGTAATAATAATAATAGTAATAAAAAAAGTATTAAAAAAATAATAATAATAAAAATAATAACAGTATTTACATTTGTAAAGTGCATAATACTTCCTTTTTTCAACCTGGTCATTGGATTCAATTGCCAATCCGCACATAATACTATAGTCAAAATATGAGCTTAAAATATGACTTCTGTAAAGACATTTTCCAGGCTTTAAAACACTCCCAATTTACATAAAAGCAACTTGTGAGTAAACTACTCAACGCACTCGCATGAAATGAGTCCTGCACAGAACTTGAGACTGACTTCCATTTTGTGTGCATAGTCTTTTGTTATTCTTTATTTTCTTCATACGCCTCATCTGTTAGCCCATAGAAAGCCAAATAAAGTTTTTTTAAGGGTGATTTTATGCATTCTAGCTGGTCTTAAATTATTTTGTAGGTGATTGGTACACTTTAATGGTCGCAACCTACCAGAAACCCATTGAACACCTGGGTGGAAAGTGGCATATGCAGATAATTGTCTAGCCATGGGACACTAGTCCCTCAAACCCACAACCTTTGCATTTTCAGTTAAGCGTTTAAACCTCTCGACTAAGACACCTCATAATGATGTATTCACAAATGTATATAAGATGTTATATTCTAGAAAGGTTCTGAGTTTTGTAAGACAACCACTTCTTTATGCCTAGGTCACATTTGCTCTACGGCTAGGATACGGCAGCCGTACGCCTCCCCCCCTCAAAACGAGAGATACTTGCAGCGGCCGCAGAGAATCTGCAGCGGCCTCAGGGTCACCCTAGGGCGTATCCCTATCTTTACAGGCCATACGGGTTGCCGTGTGATTATAACGCGGAGTTATAACTGTTTATAACATTTCTAGGTTCTTCGTAGTGATTAGACACGCCCTAGCCATGCTGTAGAGCGGTTCAACGGTGATTGTACGTCGGGCATACAGGAGCCTTGCGTTTTATATACTCCAGGGGTGAAGCAGTAATATCAGTCTGACTGCACGGTCGCCATATGGTCCCCCTTTGGCCACCTTGCTCCGTTTAGCTTGATAGCGTTTAACTTTCTCCTTGCTGCTCCCTCATCAATGCAAGTCCTTCTCAGTCATTTCAGCTTATCTCACCATACCGATAATAACAATATTGGGTTCTTCATGTCTGTCACTCCTGGCACTCCACAATTATTACCCCGGCTTTAGCATGGCTGCCAATATGTCGCTCTAGCATTAGTAGGAATTAATTCCTACCAGGTACATATTAACCTCACCTGGGTCGAGTGTGGCAAATGTAGAAGAATGTCTTGCCAAAGGTCATTAGTGCTGCGCCATGCATACGTCCCCTATACCTTGTGGTTCACTGGACCACAACACCATGGCTAACAGTGTTCACATATCAATTGAGAAGAGATCCCCAGCTGAAGGTAATGGAGCTAGTCCTCCTGTCACATCTGGTAACAGGGATAGGTCCGGTAGATTCTGGATGTGAGATTTCAGTTCCTTTCTCACCATCGTTACTCGTTCTAGACGATCTTTGTATTCCTGAAAGATCACATCAAAGAGATCACACTAATATCAACAGAGACACTTTAAGAGATAAAGGAGTATGATTCATTTCAAAGATCTACAAGTATAATCCTACATTCTCTAATTGTAATTGTAATGTGTTTTAAAAGCCAAATACCACATTTAAAGTGAAAACTAACACCAGGAGTGTCATGTTACCGTTATTTTGTTTTTATTCCTTGTTTTTTATTTTTTGTTTAATTTATCGACAAATGTCGATCATCTATTTTGTTCTTTTAAAGAAGAGAAAACGATAACTAAAGGTTAAATGTAATTTACAGCTTGTATCCTTGTATACTATATGAAATAACAAGGAAATGACCAGAATGTGGCTCATCCACAGGTAACTGAATCCCATGACCATAAATGTTGCCAAAGACCATCTGTGATCCTCATTTGGATGCATTAAAGATACCATTGTTCAATAAAAACTGCCCTTCCCTCCCCCATACGATAAAAAGCAGTTCTTAGCATTGTTGGAAGGATCCAATTACTTCTTGTTGACATATATCATAGCAGCTCTCACAAACAAATAGTAATACATGTAAGCACACTCTCTCTTGCCGTTTGAGCAATGAATGAGTAGCTACATGTATGAGTAATTGATTTGAGTTCTTTATTTTTTTCTTCAAGTATAAGCACTTTGTACATGAGGCCCTAAACTTTTTCAAATGAGATGGGATGAGTTACCTCAAGTTTCTTGACAGAAGTCCTGAGATGATGCTGTTGTCCAATCTTATAGGATGAGAGCATCTTCATTAATGATTCACGTTGATTCATCTCAGATGATAGTCTACTGTTGTAATCTGATAACATCAATACTGCTTCATTCACTACAGATGATAGGTGCTCTGCATCTTCTTTATCTGTACAATACATGATAGTAATAAGTAATATTTATAATAATATTCTGAATTATAAATTGCCAAGTACATCTACAATGTCTCTAAGTACTTTACAGATATATTATTACCCCTTTCATCAAATTCAGGCTTGTCCGCATACAATGTATGCACCTTCCCCACTTCCTGGGGAGCATTCCAGCAGGCATCTATTTACAAACGTTCATAATGCTAAACCAACGACAATGACTTTTGGTACCAATTTAACACCCGCGTGGAGAGAAGCAATATTAATAAAATGACTTGCTGAAGGATCAAAGTGTTCAGAACACTCGACCACGACATCTTTACAGAATACAGTCTACAGTCTGACACCATGGATATCGCTGTATTTATTTGACATTCTTTATCAAAAGCGAAGTGGGTTAATTATTTTTTTCTTAAAATAGTAAAAGACCATGTTAATTTGATCTTACAAACGCACACAAGAGATATATAAATGAAGATTTCTTGGCATTATGTAATGCCTTTTATCATGACATGGGCGCAGCCATTTTCTTGAAAATGTGACGTACCAGGCGGAGTTGTACATGTATCATGCACCAAGCTTTAATTGGAAAGACTTTTTAATTCAATAACAAAACCTTTACATTTCAATGAACTCAGAACCTCAGAGGTCCTTAATAGGAATTTATGAGTCGATGCACATGATTTGATTACTTGATTTCATTTACACAAAGACAGAGGTGTGGACAGTAAGATTTAATTATTAATTTATTTCATGTTTATGACATGTTTATAAGAAGTAATAACTTGCTAAGTGCAGAAATTATGTAATTTTGCTTTGTTTTTCAGATGACCCAAACCGATAAATTAATTTTGGTCTTGTAGTTATGACTGTTTGGTTCTGTATTTCTTTAGCTTGACCTGTGTAATGCATCATCACGTGGCATCGAGACAAGATACCCTGACAAAACTTGTCATCAGTGACAAATGACAATTTGTGTTATAAGCTACTGAAATCCTTGCTTCTGATTAGTTATCAGCAGATTTGTCACTGATTTATGTTATTTGTCATTGAAAAAGGCTTTGTGAAACGCCCCCCCCCCCCCCCGATTTCCTGCAGGTTCTAGGTGTGCTGGTGGTTACTACCACCAGTAGCCTAATCATATGGACTAGGGGTAGGCATTAATTACTGTATTTCTAAATTATACTTTGGACAATTGGTTGAAAGATGTAAACTGTGTTGTATAAATGTTTCATTTAGAAATCAAATTCACTGAAGACTGTAGTTGTTTACAGAATGTGGCAATCAATCAAGAGAAAGTTTGACATTTATCGCCTGGACGATTGGATTAGAAAGGGATAAGCTCAATGACTTGTTGGTTTGTTTTTATGCCTCAGTCACACCTTTGCGTATTGGACTTGCATATTGCTGCATAATTATGGCAAGCCGTTATAACATTTATTCCTATTTCTTGATTTCAAGAAATGATTTTCTGCTGAATAGCAATGGTAATTCTTGATATCAAGAATCCAACTTCTTGATATCAAAAATTCATTTTTTTTTTTAAATAGTAAGAATTCATTTTTTGATATCGAGAATTCAACTCTTGATATCGTCCGTTTTCACGAAGTGACGGTAGTGAGGAAAATCGTAACGCAAAGTGTATGCAATTTTCATTCACTACCCTCACTTTGTGAAAACAGTGACGATATGAAGAAATAGGAATAATGTATGTTAAAACGGCTTGCCATAAATATGTAGCAATACGCAAGCCAAATAGGCAAAAGTGTGACTGAGGCATTAGAGAGGTTTAATGAAACATGTGTCATTTAGCATTTATTACTTGTTTAATGATGTGATACATTGGAATGATGTTACTTATCATTTGAGTATATTTAGTATATTTTTCTGTGATTGCAGGGTTTTTCTGTTCATAAACATGAAGCAAAGATCAGATGTCACTAAGCTTTGATCTGAGTTCATTCTGCTCCCTAACACAGTCCACCCCAGGTATCACATCCGACCCACCCCGTGACACTAATATCTTGTACTCCTCTTAATAGCTTGGCTACTCTCTCTCTCTCTCTCTCTCTCTTTACATATTACATCTTACCTTTTATTTTCTCCAGCATACTAATGTCTTGTACTTCTGGTGGTAGCTTGGCTATTCTCTCTCTGACTGATGCATCACTGGATGCAGAATGTTCCAGATCTCTCAAGACTTGGGCCAGTTCATCAGGCTGTTAATACAACACGTGTCAAGCGCATAGAGAAATTTTCAATTTATTATGCGCTTAATAAATATTCTCTATTATCATTATCATTATTAAGTTTGCAGTTAATTAGAACATCACATATATCATGAGATGTACGACATTTAGGGAATAATAGAATATAAGGAAAGACAAATTATTTAGGAATGTGGGCATTAAAAATAGCTCTCATGATTTTGTTAAATGATATTTTTTTATTCAGATAAGCTTTATAAAGATCTTTTAATATTTAAATAAGGGAAAAGTTAAAGATATAGACCAGTTCTGGTCATGCGATTGCATTGTGAAAGAAACGTTGTGGAATTGATCAGAAAAGGTTGATCATCTAGCATATAAGTATTGGTGCGTACTGCACGGTTCTGGAACCATCAAAATGATAAGAAATTTGGCCCAGTCTTGGTAAAGTTGCAAGCACTGTACACAGAAAGATGTATATGGGACGACGCGATATCTTACCAAATATATCAATTAGTAGGTGGTTTCCCGGCAAAATTTGTTCAATCACAGATTAGTAAAAACATACATGTATTCTTTCACATGATTGGTAATAACAGCTTTCATCTTATTTTTTGAGAGGGCGGCGTTTCCAAAACTGGTCTATACATTTAATATGTTTTCTTAACTGAAAATCCCTCCCTGCACAATTTCTTACATCAGGCATATCTTCTATCTGCTGTAACTCCTCTTCTTCTTCATCGAGAATACGTTGAAGATCCTCTAGCTTTGGTTTCTTAGTGGCTGGAGTAGACTCCTCTTCTTCCTGCTGCTCTCTTTTACTTTCCTTCACTTCATCTTGTTGTGGAGGGGAGACAGCTTCATCCTCAGGCTCAGCAATGTCTGGCTCTGGTATGTCTTCACCTTCTACAGTCAATAACATCAACAAAACAATAATAATATTGTGTACATAAATGTACTATATAAACATACTCTATTGGGATTTGGAAAGAAAGCTCTTTAATTCTTATTGAGGCATTTTAAAAGCTTCTAAAAGATTCTTTTTTTTAATGGGTCACTAAAACTCAATTCAACTAATCAAAATGGTTAGAATTGCTGGACAGTTTTAACAAAATCTTTCAATAAATCTACATCAAAAAGTCACACTTTATTGCACCATTTATACACTTTACAAACATAGAACCAGTAAAATAGAACATTTCCTATCTTGCAACAGAACCCACAAGAATAAACTTTCCTTTTCTCACAAAAAAAAGCACCAAAAAAAGAGACATGTGCAAGTCTGTACTGGAGAACAGTACGAGTACAGGGCCTCTCAGTAAAGGTTGTATAATGCATGAATAAATAACTAATTTGACATGGAATATACTTTCCATAATCTTAGACACTCAATGACACGTGTCAACATCAAATGGATATCAGGGTAATACATGCACTTTACAATGCTCAAACATATTTCAAGTTCATGCTGGAGTTTGGTGGAAATCCGTTCAATGGTTCTAAAGTTATTGCAGCAACAAAAGTTGGAACACACAACCAGAAACAATAATGCCTCCAGAACCACCTTCAGTGGCATAGGAATTTTTTTTAAATCCTACATACCATCATTTGATAGCTCAATTTTCTTGAGGACATCTTTTTCAAAGACATTTCTGTCTTGCCAGACCTTGAGAACCTTCTGTAGAGCTGCGTAAGTCTTTCCGTCAGTAGTGGTACTGAGAGGGTGAGATTAAAGGAGCAAGAAAGAGATTCAGTCATTGTGTCACAACATCAGTATCATGATTAACTACATCCACAAAATGTTAGAGTCTTTAATACTCATGTCATAAATGCAGATACATGAACATAGTGAATTATTTCTGACTTGATGGACTATGTTTCTTAAAGTAGTCTTGGTAACATACTAGTAGTTATTTATGCAAATACCCTTTTGTTCTTTAAACGAATTGGTAATAGAATTACATAGTGATTGCCCTTAAGGCCATGCCTACCAATACAATGCAATTGTGTGCACTAAAATGAACATTTCATAACAAATCATGATGTCAAACATTTTTGTGCTGCTAAGCATCTAAATCAATGTCAAATTTGCATCTCTAGCAAATACCTAAGGTGGTTGCTAGACACTATTGTAAAATATTGAAGAAAAGCAAAGAGTTAGCAAGACGAGAAAAAATATGCATTATCGAACAAGGAGGACCTAACAATAAAATAACATACATGAACATTGTAGAGATTCATGACTTTAAATGCAGGATAGATATATATATACAAAGATGATGAATCAAACCTTACTCATACACATGTCCAAAAGCTGTCGGCATAACACCTGCATACTCCTTGTTGAATTCAGGCCCTTTTTTCTTACTGTTCTGCACCACATCATTGGCAAGATAGATGAATCCTAGTTTCCGAGAAGGTTTTGCTGTACAAACAAAATCAAAGAAACACATTAATTCATAAGTTCCTTTTGAAATGTTAAACAGTTGAATTAAATGTAATGCTAGATCAAGCAATGTATATATTTTCTTAGTACATTTTAAAATCATACTTAACCATATATAATAGGAATATCAGTATATGAGTCCAGTTTGGTGTGCATACTGGTTATGTGTATTAGTTTTCACCAGCATATAAAATATAACTCTCACAGGAATAATTTCATGTAGATTTACCTCTTTACATCCATCTTGGATACAGCACTTATGTAACATAATTCAATGGTTAACGCATCAAATGGATATTATAGTATGGATTTGATAATAACAATAATGTAACCCTTTGTATGAATTTTGATTTTGATTTCTTTTTTTTAGAAAGAAATATCAGTTAGGCCTAGGGCACATTATTTTCAAAATTTTGTGTGAAAGCAAAGCGAATGAGCAAGCAAAAAATGACATCTTTACCATGGTAAAAATGTACCTTTCTAAGCAAACCGCTGCACAATACAAGAAGTCCATACCGATGGTAAGTTGCGGGCGGGCGCCCGCCTGTGAGCTGTGTGAAGTTATGTACCGTAATGTCTCAGATCCTCAACACGGTATACAGTAGATAACTTCACACAGGCGTGCGACCGTCCGCAACCCACCATCGGTATCTTCTACTTCTTCTAGATATGACGATACTCAGCAGGATCCATAAGTCAGGATCTAGATTCTAGTGCTGAGGAATAAACTATCTAGTTCTTGGTATGGACTTGTATTGTACAGCAGTTTGCCATGAAACCTGTGAAAAAGTGCATACTAGATCTAATATCAACATTTAACCGAAAAATGCTCCAAACATAACAAAAAAATTGACACGAAACAGCTAGATTCTAATAAACATAGTCTAACAACTTTTCACTCATGATCTTTATTTGGACATTTAATGAATATTTACTTCATTGTGGGTATGTTTTAGTAGGGTATCTCCACGCCGGAGTTACAGGTCAAATATTGGATAGGTTTCTGAACAAGCGCCACATTGAACATGTCTAAAACACAAGACATAATACCGTATAGATCTACGGTATACGGCGGTTCAGCTCAGTACTCCAAACCAGACAGGATCTCTGCCCAATCACACGGCTTACCTTTCACTAACAATGTGTACCAGACGGTCACTATTTTCTTGGCATGCTTTCGATGATGGATCAGCCACAAAGACATCGTCTGAATGCTCTGTTGTGTATTTGTTAGCGTGACTAACTTGTCTACAAGTGCTTTTTCTGTAAAGGAACTCATTGTTTCTGATTCAATTCACAAGCTTAGGAAATATTCTCAGACTACAGCCAACTCTCCCGCAGATCTATCACGCGTCTAGTCCCACATGTACAGATTACATGCTGTAGCTGCGCGGACGGTACGTATAAACGACCCGGGTACGGGTACGGAATCCACCCACCATACAGTACCACCGTACCGAAGCGGTCACGGCTACCGTGATGCGCGGCCACTGGGCCCATGCACCGGGCACACGAGCACGCACCGGCGCGAGGTCTATGAGTAGTATACCTTTACCCTTTCTAATATTAGGTATAGCGCACACCAAAAATAAGTACAACAAACACTTGTTATTTGATGATTGCAAATGATCAAGCTTTATGAAAGCTTCAAAAAATGGAAAAACAGAATTGAAATCGGTCAATGCGTTGTGATTTTAAACCATTTTGTTTATATCACAAAATTACCGAAAAACCTGCCAAAAATGGTCAAATTGGCAAAAATGGCAAAATTCGACAAAGTTGACAACTTATTTCGACACTTTCTTGGACACAAATAATAAATTAAATTATCAGACACTAAAATATCATCTTTGTGGTAAAAAATACAAAAAACAGAAGCAAACAAAATAAGTCATTTTCGCCATTTTTGCGAATCTGCAGATATGAAAAAGTTGTGAAAATAACTAAGTCCGTCTAATTACTATGCGCATATGTAATCAAATCAAAACCGAACGTGATACATCTATGAAACCTATGTATATCAGACAGGTATGGAAATATTTTTTTATTTTTATTTTTTTTAAATTATGAATATATCATCAATGCCAATTAGGTCATTTCAGCTAATTATGTATATAGGAAAGTCAAACTGTTCATTTTGTTGGTATTTTTTAAAATCATATATTTATAGATCATATTTACACCAAGTATTAACATTAAATTCCTAATATTTTTGCAATGCCAATAAAATATGGCGATGGAAAATACTTGGATCACTGTTACAGCTATTTCCTCATATGTTTCACAAATTATTCAGAAAAACCGAACAAATGATAAGAATTTGCAGACTTTCAGCTACATCACAGTACAGTTTCTTTTAAAAAAATGTCAGATTTGAGGATTTATGACGATTTTCCGAGAAACCATTCAATTAAACAGGCCATAACATTCCACAGGGACTGAATTTCAGAGAAAAAGAAAGTTTGGTGACCCCAGTACAGATGTAGCTCCCTTGAGTGTAAATAACAAATTGATTCCATGAGTGAAACATATAAGGATATTGCATTTTTGTAGGAGAGTTTTATACATTGAAGTGCATTTTCACCACGCAGAATCAATGGGCGATCAGCGGGCCATGTCACACATGGCTGAAAAGACAATATTCTAATTAATAATTTAACATATTTTCCACATGCCTATAACAATGAAACTACACAAAATTGTAGTTAAAGGTATGCTTGAAAGATATGTGAAATAAAAATTTTCCCTTCCTATGAGAGCCCCTTTTCACCTCTGATAAGTACCCCTTTGTTTTTTTCTGAATGCCCCTATCCAATTGTGATAAGTGCCCCTGGTAGCTTTTCCTCGTACGTGCCAGGCTTATATATCCTCCTTTTTATTTCTGATAAGTGTCTCTTTTTAAGTGTGATAAAATATAAAAAACTGACCTTAATAAATGCGGCCTTCCGACTTGTATTCTTGTGCCCTTATTAATTTTAATTTTCCCTTTCCCCTCTTTATGAGTTCCCTTTTTCCCTCTGATGAATGCCAATTGTACTCAGTGCCACAATTTTTCATTCCTGCCTTTTCCTCCTTTTAAGTGATCACGATTTATGGTGAGTGCTCATTTTTAATGTGATAAGTACATCCTTTTGAAAAATGATAAATTTTGCTCGTTATTTTTTCTAAGTGTCTTTTTACCCTTCATTGTATGTCTACCCTTTTATCTATTCTCGTTTTTGCTTGCAAAGTGCGACCATTCCAGGCTTTTCTCGAATCGATCCGATACTGACAGGCGCGTAGCCGGGGGGGGGGGGGCGGTGGGGGCGGTCGCCCCCCCCCCCCCCAAAAAAAAAGAGAGAAAAAAAAAGGAAGAGGACGTAGGAAGACAAAGGATTAAGAGTCGAGAACGGTACAACGAATTGTCTTCTTTCTCTAATAGTTTAATAAAACGTCAAAGCTTCCGCGCTTCGCGCGGGAGGGGGGGGGGGAAAAACTGAATTCAGATAAGGATTAAGAGTCGAGAACGGTACAACAAATTGTCTTTTCTCTAATAATTTATAAAACGTCAAAGCTACCGCGCTTCGCGCGGGAGTGGGGGAAACTGAATTCAGACAAGGATTAAGAATAAGAATCGTTTGGGAATGGTACAACGAATCGTCTTCTTTCATTAATAATATAATGAAGCGTCAGAGCTTCCGCGCTACGCGCGGAGGATGGGGAACTTGTTCCAAACAAGGATTAAGAGTCGAGGACGGTACAACGAATCGTCTTCTTTTTCTAATGAAACGTCAACAGAAACTGAATTTATATAAGGATTAAGAGTCGAGAACGGTCCAACGAATCGTCTTCTTTCTCTAATAATGCAATGAAGCGTCAAAGCTCCCCCCTCCCTGCACCCATCCCCCTATAGGGAGCGCGCCACGCGCGCTCTGTAATTGATTCGCACGCTTCGCGTGCTCACTACCGCCCCCCTAAAATGAAATCCTGGCTACGCGCTTGCAACTGATCGAAGGACAGATTGAGATTAGCAAATTTGATTTCTTATATGCCTGTATTTTAGGGCCAACTCCCATAAGGCGGAAGAAGAGGGCGAACTAACTCTGGTGACACAAAAAATTTCCTATATTTCTCTTTTTCATACGACGGCGGACCCCCCCCCCCAAAAAAAAAAAAAAATAAAATAAAAAAAAAAAAAAATAAAAATAATAATAATAATAAATAAAAATAAATAAATAAATAAATAAATAAAATAAATAAATAAATAAATAAAATTTAAAAAAAAAAAAAAAATAATAATAATAATAATAATAATAATAATAATAAAAAGTAAAAATAATATAAAAGAACCGAACAAAACAAAGCTTTAAAAAAAAATTAGTGATCAACTATATTGAATTTGTGTTGACTGGAGGTGTGCTGTGTAATGGAGCGCCGAAGGGAGTTAGTTTACTTTTGATAAGTGCCCCCATTTGAAACTTTCCCTTTTCATCTATTGTAAATGACCCTATTCAACTCTGAGAGATACTCGTTTTACTTTTCCTTCCTAATAAAAGCTCATTTCCCTTCTTATAAGTGCCCCCTTTCCTTTTCATAATTGCCCCCCTTTCACCTTCGATAAATGCCCCTATTAAAATCTGATCGGAGCCCCTTTTCTTTCAACAAATGCTCCTTTTTCCTCTATTATTAGTGCCTCTTTTCATGTATGGTCAGTACCCGTTTTCAGTTGCGATAAGTGCCCCTTTTCACCTCTGATAATTACCCTTTTAACAATGATATGTGCCCCTTTTTCCCCTTCTAATGGGGAACCTATCTCTTTTTCATAAATGCCCCTTTTCACTTCTTATAAATGCCCCTATCAAAATCTGATGGTTGCCTCATTTCCGGCGACAAATGCCCATTTCCCATTCTCATGAAATCCCATTTTCATTCCTGGTGCGTGCCTCTTTTTTAGGTGTAAGAAGTGCCCCCTTTTCACCTCTGATAATTAGCCTTTGTAAATTGACACGTGCTCCTTTTACTTTTCTAATAAGTGTCTTAACCCTTCCAATAAGTGTCCCCTTTTCCTCTCCGATCATTAAACGTGCTCCTAATTTCAAGCGACTAAAAGCAATTTCCACCAAAGCTCGCTCGCTATGCTCGCTCGTAGTTATAGATGTTATAATTATGTAACTTATCTAGATCTTTTCAGTCTTCCGTTATGAGAATGTTATAACAATCCCATCAGGATTGAGTTTTTCCTCTTTATAAGATGTAATTTTTCGCACTGCGACCTCACAAATCTTGAAAATTTTCCTCGCTCGCTTTGCTCCCTCGCAAATTTATTTTCAGACCATCACATCCAACTGCAAAGTATGATGCTTAAGCAATATCTTATATGATGTATAAAGAGAAACAGATATTGAAATCATGATAATGTAATCACAATAATAGGGTTATTATACCAATGTCTAACAAATTGTATATTTTCGCCTTGAGATTTCCCTTTGAAGGTGCTCTTTTTTGTTGGTGCCCCCCCCCCCCCCCCCCGCCACTTTGGAAGTCGCTCCGCCGCCTCTGCTGTATAATGTACCACTCTTCGCTTTTTTGAAGATTGTATCCAAATTAATTGATACTTTGTTTAATTTTAAAATCTTTTTGAACGAAGAAATTCTTTTAATAGGTCATGAAATAGAGAGAAGAGAAATGAATCTTGTCAATCTTATTTTAAACTTCGCTCAGTTTATTATCTATAGAAACTATAGTAGAGCATGTTTTGGAAGTAAAAAGCACAGGATACATGCTGTATATTTGATAAAAGAATTAAAGGTGGAAATTCGCACCTATCTCAATATGAAATGTAATCCAAAAAAAATCGATACAAACGAAGTTACAAAAGTTATAAAAATGTTTTCATTATTTTAGTTAGTGATTATGTCACATTAGTTTCATGTTCTGTACTATGTATGATATGTTACACCTGCATGAATTCTGTATTTAAACACTGTTGTAAATAGCTGTTATTTTATGATATGAACAAATAAAGTCCCTCGAAAGAGGATAAATAGAAGAAAAAAAATAATGCACCACTCTTTTTAATGTAGTTTAGCCTACATATTAGTGGGGTATACAGATCACCCTTGAGGATCATTTATCTATTTATATGCACAGGGTATTTAAGATTGAAAAAGGGTTATCCCTGCTTGTTGATAACTAGAACAGCCGCAACTATAAGAGGGAGGCTCATAAACCTCATCCACCATCAATGGGTAGCTAGTATCTTGCAACGATTGCATCTTTTTGTTTGTGTGTTTGTTTGAAAGAGAAGGGGTGAACAATTTTGTATCCTCATCTGGATGTAGGCTACATCAAAATGTGATAATTGTTGTATTTATTAACCTTTTCTAAAATCAATGAAGAAATTAACGCAATAATTTATTAACCGCAAATCTCGCAAGCCATCAACGTTCAGAAAAGAGAACAGGGGAATCCCCTCAGTACATTGTGCAATAACATTGTCAGTGCTAACTGCTTTTCCTGTGTCTGTAAGCTGTCGAGATTGTACTGCTGTGTGTGTAGATGGTTGCCAAGTCATCAGCAACGGATTTTTAAACGGAATTCAGAATCAACAATAATAGCAATGGCCGTAGCTATACCATCATCATTTGAGAGGGAAATTGAATGCAGTATTTGCCAAGATCTGTTTGAAGATCCACGATGTTTATCATGCTTCCATACATTTTGTTTCGAGTGTTTACAGAGACTAGCAGAAGGTGACAGATCGGTGTTATGTCCTCTCTGCAGGAAGAAGACGGCCCTGCCAAACAATGGGGCTATGGGTCTCACCAAGAACAACCTAGCTCAAATAATGGTGGAGTTGGTTAAAAGAAATGGATCTGAGGTCAAAAAAACTCTTACATGCCAATCAGAGCATGACATACGCCAGAGAGCCGAGTTCATTTGTCAATCATGCAAAATTATAATTTGTGGGTCATGTGGTATGACGCATCACCGTGATCCTACACAGCACCAAACATTCCCAATTGATGAGAAGCTCAAACAGATGGAAGAGGATCTCCGAGATTTACTCGAGTGGGGGAAGAATGAAGGAAGAGAGCAAGTCGAACGTAAAGAATTATTGGAATTGAAACAACAGGAAGTGACCACTAGATTCATGGCAGTCGAAGCAGCTATCGATCGTACCTTTGCAGAAGAGCGTAAGCTTCTAGAAGACAGAGAGAAACATCTTAAAAAACATTTGTGGGATATGAAGAGCTCCATCAAAACAGCGCTACAGAAGCGATGCAACGCTGAGGAGGAAGCAACACCCATATTATCAGATCTAAACTGCCTCACTGAAGACATCCTTGAAGGTGGTGCTGGCGCTGTAATGGAAATGCACCAAGAAATCATTGATGGGTATCAGTCACAGAAACAAAGAGTAGCGCCAAACAATGCACTTGGTTCACTGCAACGCCGATTGGAGTTCATTTCAGACATTCGTTTCGAGCAGGAATCAAAAAAAGAAATCCCTATGGTTGGGAGAATCATGTCAAACACTGGACATTGGATGGTGGAGCAGGTCAGATTTGCAGTTCATGTCAATTGCAATCCTTCAAGCATCATTGAGTTGTCAAATGGATTGATGGCTGTGGGATTTAGCATGAAGAGTGATATTGAATTATTTGATAAATCTTGTCAGCGCTACAGACCAGTCGGTCCAATGGCTGTCAAAGATATGGCCCCGCTTTCCAATAATTGCTTCCTAGTCCTAGATCAAGATGGTGATGTCAGTCGTGTCTCTGCCTCTACGAATAAATCTGCTTGTCTTCTCAAACAGGGTAAGGACTTGCTGGATAAGGACAAACCATGTTTAATTGCAGCTGACGCGAGCAATAAGCTTGCTTTGTTATATGAAGATCGAGTTGAGAGCTATTCTATAAATGAAGGAGTACCTGAACACACCATCAAACTCTCATCTGACGAAGGTGACAAGCCACATCGAATGCAGTTTCATGGGCATAGTAGTGGTTCAAGTGATCGCTGCATTGAGATCTTGATGGATAATTCAGAAGTAGTGAGAAGCTTCCGTTGTAAGCTGTCGGAGAGTCCACAAGTAATTGCCTCTGACATTTGCCTCCAGGATAAAGTTCATATTCATGGTAGAAATATCGGTCATACCGTCGACAAAGAAGGCAATCTATTCATAGCCTATACTCAAGATGCTGAATTCATCACGATTAGGAAGTACATAGGAGGTGACATGTCCAAAGAAGAGATTGTGATATGCGATCTTCAAGTGATGATGGATGAGTGTGGTAGCATCCTATTGGCTTCCCCTAGCCCTTTATGTCTTGTCATGTGCACATCTAAGAAGCTCTCAGTTTTCAAGAAAGCTACGGTTGATGATTTTCTACTTGAGATGGGTTTGGCATAATTACCACCCGTTTCCACGAGACGTCCAACATAAACTTTGAAAATGTTGTCTGCATACTTTACATATTTATTTCATACCTTCTGGAATTTAGTTTAGTTGAGTAGTTTATAACATGTTTACAACAGCAACATAAAGACTTATTTTTAACACAACGAGAAAGGCAAGACATGTTTCATTCCAATATCATTTTTGCTACCAAAACTTTACGTGAGCTTTAAGACGATCTCTGATGCCTCTAGTAATCAAAGAGTGAATAGGTTTATGTGCAGGCGTGCATCGACTTAATCTCTTTCATTTACTGCATGTTGAGACACTATACTTTATGGCAAACATTATTATATTGCAAATAAGAGCAATATTCGTTATTCTAAAGGATTCTTGTGAGTTTAAAAGTTTTATAGCCATTAAAATGCTGCTTCTTTGGGACATTTTTTTCTTGAAAGAAATAAAGAACTGCGGCACAAGAGACGGACAATGTCCGTCACATGCTTCATGTTCCTTCTGACTACTTTATTCAGAGATTGGTTGGTTTATTGAGTTTTCGGTCTCCTGGGATAGGCCTGTCCCAAGAAGTCAATTGTATAAATAAATCGTTGCTTTATTGCATACATATTATGTATTTCCTAATCTTTTGTCAACTCATAAACTTGAAGACAGGTTTAATGCCCTTCTAGCTCTTAACAAATGAAATACAATGTACAACCCCCTCTCCCCATTTGAAGAAAAAAAGCTTTTCATCGCCTTTGTTTAGTCCTACTTTAAAGGGATCTATTGTTTGTCATTTCTATTTTGATCGTAATAACATTACTCTTTATGGAACAAAAACCTATAAATCTGTTATGAATTGTATTGATTTATATCAGTGGAGATATATATATATATATATATATGACAATTATTATCCTATAAGTGTACTTCATTCGGGTATTTTCAGCTATAGCAGTAGACATACCACACCAGGACACTGGGACCATTTTATATAATATATGTATTTGAAAAACAATTACTAGAAATACGAGCATACTTTTATTTTAAACCATTCAAATAATGTTTGTACAAAAAAAGGTTTGTATAGGAAAGTGAGGAATCAAGAGACATCCGAGGCAGTAAAGCGGTTATGAACTACTATTCCACGTTCTGTTTTCTTTGCTCCTAAAGCCCTTATTCGCATTGAGACTTTTTTGTATTCTTATGAAAAGTATTGCTATAAAAGAATCTGATATAGCAACTAAGGTTTACTTCATCACAGTTTCGTGATTGCTTCCTCTAACATGAGTAACATCTCTACTACGTAGAGCCTGATAAGTCCTTGCCGTGTTTGTTTCACAAAGCAACCATCATTCTTAAGGAAGTTCTTTGATACATCAACATTGTTTTATTGAGAAGTTTGCAACTTTGAGTAATGTTTTTTTTTTTTTAAACGTGTTTTAAAGTGTGTTTATAAATACGATATAACTAGTGTCAAGTCATGATATTATGCACTACCTAGAAAGAAGAATTGGAGCTCAGAAGACGCATATGCTAGTTAAAAATGTGCCCCCCCCCTCCCCCAATGCATAAGAATGAACATGTAATAGCTTAAATTAGCAGATGAGGCCGTTTGACCTTTACATATATTGTCATTCAACTTCATAATCTGTAAACATGGTGAATTAAGTTGTTGTGCCTTCGTAAGAAAACAAATAAACGTAGTTTCCATTATATTTTTATGAACATACAATTTTCCCTTCCTATTCTTTGATATTTTGTGTGAATATTTTGATGAATCATATGTGGAAAAAGTCGGGAGATTGCGTAAGAGAGAGAGAGGGGGGTGGGGGAGATGAGAGAGAACCTCTTAATGGTGATAAATGTTGATGTAATGAAAAATAAGAAATATATCCTGTGAGATAGTTTGCGTGTGTGTTGTGTGTAAGGGAGAGAGAGAGCGAGAAAGGGGGAGGGAGGGAGATATAGAAAGAGTGTTGCCAATAAGTATTGTAAACAGTCGGAGCATGGGGGAAGGGGGGCAAATACCACCATTAATACACTTTTTCCATGTCCATTGCCCCTGTCCCCTCTAGCCGAGTGGGTTTGAAAGGGGGAAGGGCCTTTCAAATTACACTCGTTTGGGTTCTAAAATGAAAAACAAATTATATAAGGGGGTGGGGTCAACTTAGATAAAAAGTAAGCTGAACATCCCCCCAAATATATATATATATATATATATATATATATATATATATAAAGGCCTATATTAATAGTAAATAAATTGTAGAAATGAGGATTTTCACTAATTAAAAATTAAATCTATCCCATTTTTTATCAACGAGGAAAGAACGCCTTCTTCATTGCCTACGGAAGATATAAACGTGTTTCTACCCCTATATATTTCATTACTTTCATTTTGCGTGTGTTGTTTTTAAGCCACCGTAGACTGATTAAACGAATAAATTAGACGATGAATATCTTTAAAGAGTGCTTCCTGTAAATGTCCCCTCTGTGATTCTTGAGTTCTCATTATAGTTGAAGACATTAAGATACATAAATTAATTAAGTGGAGATGACCTCCCTCAACACGTGAAGAGTACATGCGAATGTAGGAAGCATCGAACAGAAAATTAATAATTAATGAATCTTCGGGCGCGTTAAAATCGTGTTCAAATAATAATAACGTCTAAGCAAACATGACGTAGCTTGATGGGACTTGAGACACACACACACACACACACACACAACGCACACACACACACGCACACAAACTAGAATTATATTTTTTAAAGTGGATATCAATGATGTTGTTGTCTGTGTTTTGATCTAAAAAAAATGGTATGCCAAGTGTGAAAAAGTGTAAGTTGTAACATATGCAATGGTATGTGCAAAGAAAAATCAAACCTTAATAGAATTTTAATTGTTGCTGGAAGAAAGCAGAGAAATTAGAAATTAAAGCGGATTGGTGAAATCTTGAAGGAATTCGGTCAAAAAATAAGAGCTTTTCATAATCACTCGTAAGGGAATTTCAAATCGGCTGAGTTGGTAATGGCTCTGGGATGTAGTGGCGGTCACTTCCATTGTTCAAACACACAAAATTACTAAAATAACATTTTTGCCCTATAAAATTATAAGTCAGGAGGGACTCTACCGTTGAGAGGAGCTATAATACTGTAGTATGCTATCCATGATTATATTCTGAGTGGTGTCTCAGGGGAGAAGGCGATTAGGAGGAAAACATACATTCATGATAATAATATTTTCATAATTATGCGACAGCAGTAGTCGTAGCAGTAGTAGTAGTCGTGGACTTATGGTATAGTATTTATTTTTCCGGTCCAGTAAAAAGACAAAAATACAAAGGCCTATACTATATGAATAAAATACGACTGGATTTCCACAAATGGAAAGTTGTCCGTGATTTCGTCAAAACTCCAAATTGCCAATTTGAGATTCGCAAAGATTTAGGGTTCCTTATTTCACATATTCACAACTTTTTTATTATTGGTCCGATTGATTTCAAATTTTTGTCATTCTTTTTCTATTAGTGATCTGCTTTCATACACATGAACTTATAGCCAAGTTGATTTACCCTTTCATCATTATGTATGACTAAGTAGTTGTTTCAGCAATCATCCGGCCATCGGTGTTCTTTCAATACCTCGTTGGAGTGTTACAAGTCATCTAAAAGTGGTATATCTCCGATTGTAATGAATCACATACAAGACGGTATTTTCCTATAACTAATAATATATTTTGTACATGTCTAGCTAAGCGCCTGTGTGCTTTACCTTCACCTTCCAATCAACAGTGGGCGGAATTTGGCCATATATTAAAGGTATAATGTACAGTTTTGGTAAGCCCTCGAAAACTCGTTGTCATATTTCTTTTATTTGACATGATAAATAGAAAGATACTGGCAATATTATAAGGTGCTGTGAATTTTTTGTTCTTCCTTTAAGTGAAAAATTAAACCAATGAGATTTATACAATAGTTTAGATACCCTTTTGGGACTTACATTTTAATAACCGCACCTTTACTACACACCTTAAAACACCGCATTGTGTGTATATAATTGGTACAGTCTACACATGTACGCTGTCTCTATAAAGTAAAGCACTAAGATATAAATTATGTTCCCGAAGCCATCAACTTCGAAGGGTCCTATTGAGCATATATAGGAGAGGTTATAGCCGTTATCCAGTGTTACTCGTAGATGTTCACACTACAATTCACCGGAAATCTTGGATTGAATACATGATTTTTTCGATGTATATTTTTAACACAATGAGAAAGGCATGACATGTTTCATTCCAATATCATTTTTGCTACCAAAACTTTACGTGAATTTAAGACGATCTATGATGCCTCTAGTAATCAAAGGGTGAATAGGTTTATGTGCAGGTGTAATACACGGAAAGTGGGATGAGGGAAGCAGATGTTGCGCACTATGGCATTACATTTGGTGGCAAAAACATCTCAAATCTCATGCTGACGACACAGCACTTATTGAATCATCCAAAGATGGAATTAAAAGTCTCACACATGCAGTAAACGATACCGGCAAGAAACTCAACTTACATCTAAATGTTAAAAAGACCAAACTCCTAATTGCTGGTAAAACCTCAGATACCGATCGCAGCATCCAGATCGACGGGGAAACAGTCAAAGATGTGGAAAGCTTCAAATATCTTGGATCTACAAAGAACAGCGATGCCAGCTGTACCACTGATATAAAGATCAGAATAGCTATAGCGAAGAAGAGAATGGTTGACCTGCATGTACTTTGGAATGACAGGAACATCTCAACCGGCCTAAAAATAAAACTGGTCAAAACCCTGGTTTGGAGTGCTTTACTTTATGGTGCTGAAAGCTGGACACTGCTCAAAGCCGATGAAAATCGCATCATGGCAGCAGAAATGTGGTTCTGGAGGAGAATGCTCAAAATCAGCTGGAAGGATAAAAGAACCAACCTCAGTGTCCTACAAGAACTAAACACAGAAAGAGATCTCCTTGGAAAAGTGGCCCGCCTCAAGATGGGTTACTTTGGACACATTCTGCGTGGCAGTGGGAGCCCCTTAGCTGCACAAATAATAGAAAGCCAAGTAAAAGGAAAAAGAAATAGAGGCAGACAGAGAAAACAGTGGTTTGATAACATCAAAGAATGGACAGGTCTCACATACTCAGAAGCCAAAAGATTAGCACAGAATAGAAACAAATGGAGAAAGACAACAAGAAGATGTGCAGATGTGGTCGCCAATCGCCAGCAACTGACGGCGGCAACCAGGTAACCAGGTAAATACATGTAATATTGTATGTGCGTGTGTGCGTGCGTGTGCGTGTGTTGCGTGTGTGTGTGCGTAGGAAGTGTGTGTGTGTGTGTGTGTGTACTATGCTGGATACGCCATTGGATCAGTAGTTTCATCGCGAAATAAGATTTGAATTCGTAACATATCTTTTTTTTTTGTATTATAAGGTAATTACCCATAGCGGAATGAAACTTTAAATAGGCCTACACGAGAAGAAATATAAACAAAATAACAGATACATTTCTAGAGATAAAATATATTTAATATTCATCTTCTTCAGTCAAATTAGTATTAAATTTGCTGGATAGTTTATCTGCATCGTTACATTTCATATTTGTTTGCATTCATATCAGATTTCAGGCTGAGGTAGCGCAATAATGTTTATCTTTTCTATACGAACGATAATCACGATAATTTCTAATATACATGATGAGCCTTGAAGGGTTGACGAATAAACTGGTTTACCAAAGATATTATATACAGCCATACAGGAATTAGTATTCCCGATTAGGTAGAGATCAGGTAATAAAAGCGAGTTAAATTTAAACATGTTTTGATATATCATTCGATTTACCATTACCTGGAGAGAAAAGGCCAAATTTCGTGGTAATAAGACAAAATATTATTGCACGTATTTGAATTTAGATAACATATTACAGCTTAGTGTTTAAAATCTAAAGAAGAAAAAAATCGGAAATGAATACGAAGGATAAAATTGCAGAGCTTTAACATTGTTATAGTACTATGTTATTACTTTCCTGTACGTCTCTAGTTAAGTAGACCTATGTTAGTCTAATTGTAATACCCTAAACATAATATATTTACAGAGTAACATGCAATTGGAGGATGACGCATGCCATACAAGTTAGCATCATGGTGGGCTTTGAGAGGCTAAATAATAATAATAAGCCTCATTTATAGTTTTAATACTGTTCTCCTTGAGGGCCCTGCAATCATATTATTACCCTATAGCCGTATAACAATAGCTGACAATTATTATGCAATATTAATCAAGAAAATCTCAACCAACTTACGTTTATTAAATAACACGGTGTTGATAGCTCCCGAGCGTTATGATCAGACGTCATAAACATATCCATAATAAAACTAAGACATCATATTTTTGACGGATCATTATCGGTATATAGCCCAGCAGAAATGAATTTCAAAGTGAGGTGAATGCTTTCATATCAACAACTGCCCTTATTTTTGCAAGAATATTAACTTGAATTAAGTCGTTAGACTAACGCAGCAATTGGTATGGTTTATCGCCATTTGGTCCAATACCCAGATTGTTTAAATTCATTCGGTCTACCACAATACAGGTGGTCCAAAAAAATATTAATAGGACAAAATGGGTCATGGGATAAAGGGATTTTTGGACAAACTAGTTTTTGGAGGAAATGTTGATTGACCAAATGATCTGAGCAATTTTGCAATAGGAACAAATGGAAATTTACAATATGTGTATAGATTGTCAAAGTAAATAGTCGCAGGACATGTTTTCCAATGTACGTATGTCCGTAGATATTTCTCAGTGCTTAATTCAAGATGTGTTCTTGAATCAGCGTGGTAGCATATACAAGCGGCACAAGACACTTCATTCTAAGGAACTTGATTCTTTAGTCATCTTCATTTGGCATTATGCTCTTATCTTCTACCTCCTTGGTAGTTTGATCCTCCAATTCTGTGTTGTGTGTCGGGACAAGCTCGAAAAAGAGTTGACAGAACGTCGTGAAATAATCTGTAATGTGTAACAATAATAACAATATGCTTGACAATATATTATATATAATCATAATGAGTGGGAAACCACTAAGCATGACGGGGCGTCTTGTGTGTAGTGAAAATATAAATGAAAGATAATACAAACACAAGAAATAATGATCCTCCGAACAATAAGAAATCGTTTTATAAATGTTGGCCGTTAGGGCTTTGTCAAGTAATGATCTTATATGACTATGGAAATCGTTATGCGTAAAAATATGCTCCTATCCTATTCTAATAAATGGCGTTAAGTTGCAAAGAGAGCGGACAAAAATAATAATTTATTTTTCTCGAATTCCGAGCAGAACTCAATACTTTCTTCTATATGGTTTGAATAATATAATGACAAATAAAATAATATTAATAATAGTAAATGAGTAATAGTGAATTTAAACTTTAAAGGATCTTTATTTCAACTTTTTATATTACTATTTCTATAACCGTTACGGAAACATTTCCAAATTGAATTTTGGTTCTAAATAACGCTTTTTTATGCTTATCATACAATTACGAGAAATGCATAAATTAAAGTGCTTTTCAATGATCATTTACCCTTTTTTGGGATAGAAAAGCGATTCTATTCGAATTTAGATAAATTGTAAAATACCACTTTCAGTATCATAGTAACGATTTTGATCACTCTCGTGATAAATGGAAATTGATTGTACCTACCCATAAACTTTGGTTCATATCCGTAGTGAATGAAAGGCACCCAAAATATCAAACCACCGAACATAAAGATAGCAGCAAAGAGGTACTCGAGGGCGGGGTCGTTGATTAACGGTGCGATAATGAAATACACAGAGGCGACGAGGAGGAAAACTGCTACCAACCAATGCACCTGCAAATCATAAAAGTATGTGCAAATTTGACGAAAAAAATCACTGAGTTAATTGATACATAAATATAGGAATTAAGCGCTTTTTATATTACTTTTAAACGCCTAATTTAATTATTAACCATGGTCTTCGGAACATTTATAGGCAGGGTATACTACCGACATCGCTTCCACAGCTGTAATGTATTTTCAACTGCGCAATCTTTCGGTGAAGGCGTATAGCGAATTTAGGTTTATGTACCCCAGCATTATCACACACTTGTCATGCAGTTTGTGATGTCTTATGGGGCATGGCTGTCGACATATCGTGAGCAGCAGATGGCAGTATAAGCGAATCTGCATTAATATGAGTAATTACAGTGTATTCTGCAGGGAGAGGAAGATTATGAAATCACAATATTAGCAATATCTGGAGAGAATCTCCATGAGGTGTGGTGGCTTAGTGGTTCATTCACTTGCCTTTCAATTCAAGGGTTGAGGGGCCGAATCCCAGCACGGTACGTAAGTCCTTTGGAAAAGACATTCATCCACATTTGCCACTCTCCACCCATGTGTAAATAGGTACCTGGCTATTGGTGGGGTAATAATTATTGGAGGGCCCTCATGAAGAACAGCATTGATGTTCCTGAGGGTTCCCTGGGTTAACAAATTATTACTATTAATATCATCATTGTTATTGTTGTTACTTCAACTAAATAACCTCCAAAATGTAGTACACCTCTAAGGTTTTTTTCATGGTATATCGAAGTTCGATGTGAGAGATTTCTTACCCTGTATGGTCTCTTCCAATCTGGATGTTTGTATCGGAGGTAAAGGAAGGTGAATGCGGTGATGCCATAGAAGAACCATGAAGCAAAGCTGAAATAATTCAGCAAACTATCCAAGCTTGTTGGTAGCACCAGAAGAATCAATGCAATCAAAGACTAAAATAGACGACAAAATCAATGTGTTAACATTAATGGTGATAAATTGACTAGAGAGGAAGAGTGACGAAAATAATTGCCACGATCTATCGATCAGGGATCGTTCTCCCAATGTCTCCTTTTCTCTTTCACATGATTTTGAACAACATTTGCTGTCGGTTTTCATTCTAATGTACATGAATCGTTTAAGGTGATATATGACTCCCGCATTCAATGTAAATATGTACGAATTGTGTCATAGGTGCTCATTGAGTAGCTATGTTAACGACATCGTCACATCTCAAGTGTGTTCGGTTATGTTATACACCTAACGACACCGTTAAATTATCAAGAGTATGATGATTACTAGCCATGGGCGTGTATATGATTTTTCATATGGTTGTTATTGAAATTCATAAAACTGATAAACTATTTGAATAGCATTTGACTTACCACAACGATCAATGATACAACTGGTGTGACTCTCTTGTGTTGCGCCATTGATAATACTTGAGGGAAATGACCTTCTTGTGCAACTGAGTAAGCTAACCTATTCAAATCAGATTATTTGAAAGAAAAGATTAAAAACAGAAACAGGTCATAAGATAAATTTCAATTCGTATTCCCAAAAATTAAGAGTTTGTTGTGATGCAAAAAGGAATACAACAAACCAAAAAATAATTCAAAGTGTTGAATTAAATAATATAATGGGTGAAGAGAAGCAATGTAGATAAAATGGCTTGCCATGAAATATTTGGATAGCTAAGTTAACTTAAGTTCCATGTTGTACTTTAATAGTTATGTCACTTATGTGATTTCCCAAATCGGATTTTCAGAAGCAAGTAATATGAAAAGGAAAGGAGTTACATGATCATTTGCTTGAGACTTTTCATGATTCCTCTCCAAAAAGAAAGAAAATGCACGTTTCAACTACAAGAGGTCAGTAAATGACTCTCCAGCCTTTAACTTAAGATGCATGTTTGGATATTAGTCACGGTTGATGAAAGAAAATCATGTACTTTCATATGTTCTGATATTGTGTTTTTTCTACATTATTTATACGACAATTCGACTTCACCCACTGAGACTGTTTCGATTCAATTGAATCAAACAATAAGTTAAATTCAATGACAGTGAGAAAGAAGTTTTGTTATCGAGTGCATTTTCATTTATATCTGACCTTGAAGCGATATAGGAGATACCATTAGCAGCTCCGAATGTTGACATGGCGACTGCGATAGGGACTAACCAATAGGCATCACCCATGGTCTGTAGCGCGAATGTCTGTCGAATAAAATGGAAAATGAAAAATCAATGTTAGATGCGCTAGTGCCCTTTGGTAAGGCATTAATCCTCATTACCAGGTCCCTCGGAGAGGACCTAAAGCCGTCGGCCTTCTGGTTGTTTACTTACATGCATTTATGCTTTCTTAGCAGTCAGGTAAAACAAACACCATCACCATATCTTGGCAACTTATTCGTGCTAAGTTAACGATGTACGAATAACTAACAACGAAATATTATGAACGAATGTTATGTACAAAATCTTATTCCAATGATTGTGTGTATGATCTCAAACCATTGCATAATTTGATATGTAAGAGACAGTGCCATTCAGTATGCTTAACTTGTGACATGGGTTCATGGAATCACCCCCCCCCCCCCATTTTTTTGTTCTGGGGGGGGGGTGCTATATATTCATCTACGTCATATTTCAATTTGTTTTTTTCCTTCAAACTGCATGGTTGTTCTGTTCCGTTATTCAAAGCTCTGTAAGAAAGGCGCCCAGTAATCCGACATTTACAAGCGACACCGTTTTATGCTTAGCAGTATACCGCGTGTTTAATTGCGCTTGGTCATTTAAGACGATATTGAAGGACTGAGACATGAATGGAGAGTTGTCAGAGACCTGTATAGGGGCCTTGAATGTTTACTGTGTTTTAAATTAGGCTATTTTCGTAATGTAACCTTAATTTAATGCATACGTCTTTGTGAAGTGCCTTGATACGAATCATACTATTATTTCACCTGTGCATAGACTAATTGTTGCTAGGTACGGCAAACAAAATGGCTTGCCCTACCTAACATCATGTAATATATGAAAATGGTCTATTGTCAATATAATCAATTGCGTACTGGCGGTAGTGGGATAACACTGTTGTACGTAGAGTACGCTTTCTTCGTTTCATGAGGTCTTCGCGTCTTCGGGTTACACGAACTTTCATGAATAATCAAGCCCGAATTACCAAAGGGTTGTGTGTAAGGTTGTAAAAAAAACATACCTCTTATAGCCAATGTGTTGGGTCCAGTTTACCCGACACTTTTTAAAAAACCGACAGCAAATCTGTAAAGACTCGCGTCTCGAGTGGGTTCTTTGCAATACGAGATAATTAATCACAAGAGTTTGTAAACAGAAGAAAAAAGGGCTAGCGATCGACATTTCGTCATTGTCTGATTGTTTTGGCATGTTTTCACAAAAAGCCCTTCATGTTAAAAGATACTATTATATCAAAGACTGTCTTTGAACAAAATGTTAATGTTTGCATTTAATCTGCCAAACGTTTCGTGAATATGAGGGCATGTTTTCACAAGATTTCGTGTAACCCCAAAACTGACCCGACGCGAGATCCGACGGAACGAATTAAGCCTGTATAACGAGATTTAAGTCCTTACCACAGCGACTGCGTCTGATTGAAGAAGTTGTTGTGGACTGAGGACAGTGAAGTAGGCAATGTTTGTCAGGAGATAGACGAGGGTAGTCACTGGTAGACCAAGCATAATAGCACGAGGAAGAGTTCTAATAGACACACAAGATTATAACAATATTACTCTGTGAACGAATACCTGCCATACTGATATAAATTGCAATGGAACACTCTCGGGGGCGGGGGGCTATGGGTCAGGGTTTTTCGTGGGAGAGGGGGCGGAAAGGTCGCCACAAATTGCACTTTATAACTTGGGCAAATACAAAGGCTTGGTGGAAAAGAGAGATAAACAAGAATTACACATGACAACTACTATTGAAATATTAACCTAAAGCAATTTCAATAGCCTTGTGCGTCTCCTATTGACGAAATGTGCGAACAAGACAATTAGGTATTGATTAATCCGAACATTTTGTATAGGACATACAAGGCGGTGTCAGACACAATTTTCCCGATCCATCTTGAATTATCTAGATAGCTATTTTCTAGATAATTGGCCTCTGACACCACCTACATTAGGGTAAAAAAATACGTCGAGATATCGGAGATAATTAAGATCGAGTTAAATTGACATTTTTATATAAAACTCCTTTTTTTATTGATAGGTTATCCTCTCCCTGTGCCTTACTTTTTTTGTTCAACAATCAAGGGTGTCTTAATTGTCTAAATTAATATAAAATGCCTTAATCTTCCCTCTTGTCTGATATACGAATGAAGATAGCATCTAAAACGATACATCTTGATTATGACATAAAAGAAAAAACACGATCTCTTATCTGTTATTCTAAATATTAAAAGGGAACAAAGTTCAATGTCTGAAACGATTTGAATTCACAAACCTTAATCACAGAATGATGAAGGTAAATACAACCATTAGAAGGGCGTTTCAAATGTGTCAATATCTTAATATCAATTAAATGTCGGTGCAAAAGAGATAAGTTTACGCCCAAACTGCAATATTTCACACATGTGTATAGAGTTGATAAGATGTCAGACAAAACCAATGAATATAACAAACAGTGTACACAGTGTAAAATAAACAAATACTTACACTTCTGGGTTTTTCAATTCTTCTACTGCAAAATTCAACGTGTTCCTAGTATGGAGAAAATATTACAAAAGTTACAAAATAATGTACTGAGCTCCAGTGAAAAAATGTCAACGGTGTTATCACTTTACATTTTACAGAATTTAAGCATGACATCATGTATTATATACTTTGAGTACGTTTTCATTCACGAGCTGTTCTGTTTTAAAGTTAGCATTATTTCAGGGAGAAAATCATTTACAAAACCATTCCCAAAGTTCACCTTGATTGTCAAATATAATAAGGTTCAAGTTTTACGGTTGTGAACAGTATTGTTCTCTTTAGAATGCAAAGATGAAGGAGTGGAAATGCATTCGAGACTCTTGTCAGTACGAAAATAATTTGTTGCATTGAAACACCTTTGAAACACCTTTGAAACACCTTGAAGTAGAACAAAATTTGATACGCAAGGTTATTCAAATATGTGCTGATATTTTATTCCGATTACCAACAGATCCACACCTTATCTCGTTATAATTACACCTGTGGCTTTTCACAATACACACACTATATACACAGTGATAATCTTCTTATAGTGTAGAGGTGTCGTAGTCCAGTGGTATAGGGACTTGACTGCACAAGCAAAGGTCACGTATTCGATCTACGACACAGCATTAATGTCCTTAAGCATGACAAGACATTAACTGGGGACCTGGTACGATGAGGAAAACTTTTGTGATAGAAATTGCCATATATGCCCTCAAAGAAACCGTAATAGTAGAAATACTCCTAGGGAGTGAAGATGATGCCCACTGTGTGCGTGACTGACTCTGAATACCGTTTTGATATATGTAAAGTACTTACAAATCGTATTCCATATTAAAGTACAAGTCCACATCAAAAATAACTTTCAATAACGGCAGAAAAATCAGATAATCCAATCAAAAAAAGTTTGAGCAAAATCGGATAACTAATAAGAAAGTTAAGAATTTTTAAAGAGTCTGTGAAACAATGGAACAATGGAAATCACTACATGAATTGCTAATCTGGTTATCAGTTTTTGACGTCATGTCCACACTATTTATCAATTGCTTTATATAGTTTAATCCCATTAATTTATCTTTTTATCCCCAACAACTTCATTTCCCCATGCCTTTGCCCAGGTTATATGATTTGTAAGCGTGCATGACATTGCACAAAATCTGTTTAATGAACTTTGAAGAATTGATACTATTTTCTGAATATTGTTTATTCATAATTATTGATTTGTATTCAAATAGTTTATCAAAGGTCACATTTTTCATTATTTAACTGAACAAATTACTCTATATTAGTGCATCCACACAAAAATATATTACTATCGATCTAACTTTTCGCAAAAGCAATTGCTAGTATTTTCTGACAAGAATCAAATTATTACTTTTACTTGCAAGCATTGGAAATATCTATGCGCACTTTATGTAAAGGCTTAGAAAAAAAACTATTGGTAAAATATTGCCAGTTTTATGTTTTGGGGCTAATTGTAAGTTTTCCTCGGATTTGAGGATTAATGTTTTATACAAAACATTATGATTCCTCTATTATGTTCTATTTAAACAACATGTTAGTATATAGTATGTGTGCTTTACGCAGACAAATGTGATAATAAACAACTTTTTGTTTTGATAGATGATTGTATTTACCATCCATCGTAAGACCAGAGACCAGCATAGAATGCGAGTCCATAGGCAGCAACATTAGAAGCAGAACCTTTGAATGATACCTTCGGGTCTAGGTATTCAGTGTTTCCTGTCAATATAGAGTACAATGCATTTGTCTTAACATTCCTTCTATATGTGACTTTCTTATGTTGATAGACAGAACATGTCTTTTCAGAATCTACTCAAGTCAAATAATCCCCACGGTTTCTTCAGGGAATACGAGTAGGTTACATGGTCATACCAACTACCAAATTAAAACCACCTCCGTTATAACTCCAATGCCATCTATATCAAAATTCTTCTAAATAAGCAGTTTGCATGCCATAAACTTAGAAAATAAGATTGAGGATGTAATATGTATGACCTACTTTCAAATTGAGAAATCATTATCCAAGATAAATCACAAATGTTCATCTTTGCATTTGTAGTTAAGTGGGATTGACAGGGGTGCAATACTCCTCATTATGGCTGCATGGGTGCTACTTCAAACTGTGGAGCCTGCATCATTGTTAATCAACATCTCCTTCCAAGTGTTACATATTTCAGCACATGCGCAGTTTTACCTTTAATTACTGGTGTGAAATGTTTTGTCGCTATGTCGTCTACGTTTAGACTTATACAGACATTGTCATGGAACTTTAAATAGATAAAATATTTGATGTATTTTTTGATCTTCATACCTTGAGCAATCTCCACGAAGCCGAGGATAATGATAACAATAAGTGCTAGAATTTTAGCAACAGTAAAGATGATTTGAACTCGAGCTGCAGCCTTCAGACTGTAACAATTAATTATTGCCAGTAAGACTGAAGAAGAGAACAAAAGAGAAAAACAATGAGAGTGAAGGATAGTACATGGCTTATATATGCTTTCTATCAAATGGTGCAACTACATAAGCGGAATTAAAGGTACAGATGTAATATAATACAGGATAATTATTCAATAAAGAGAAAAAAGGGGAAGAGAGAGAGAGAGATGGTAAGAGGAAATTAAACATAAACGGTATAAATGAATTCCCGTAACTTTGAAATCAAATTTGCCATGTTTGCGGTAAAAAGGTTTTCTGATTAGTGTATGAATAAATTGGATAAAATCGAGTCAAACGTGAAAACATGTTTAATAAAGCAAATATATGTTTAAATAATTGAAATTTCTACCAGGAAGCATTACATTTATATTAAAAAAATGTTTAATGAAGGGGACTTTAATTCACTTTCTCACCAATGCAACATCCAGCTAAGAGCTTTGCGATTGAGTCAGGTGGTCCACATTCTTCTCCCGTGTAAAAGGGCGCCACCATGTATTGACCGAATGTGAGTGAGATGATAGCAATCCCAGCAGGGCGAATCACCGTGATGCTCACCCACGCATACACAAAGGCTATGGACGATCCAAAGGTCGTATTCAAGTATGTGTGCTCAGCGCCCGATTTAGGTAGCATCAGACCCAACTCGGTATACACCAAAGCACCTGTAATTAAAATACGAAGACGTAATAGGGGTAGAATAAGATGACTGAACAAGACAAGGGTTAAATATGTAGATGGCGAAGAAGAATGAAGAGAAAGGAGGAGAAGAAAGAAAGAAAGATCAAGATCGGGGATCAAGGAGAATGACATGGCGACAGAAGAAGACAAAAATTGATCACAATATCTGACAATCAGAATGAAGTAAGAATAGGGGAGCATTGTTTGAGGGGAAGACAAAGCAAAGGGACGATTCACATACGTTGAAAAAGTGCGTATTTTGTTTTCATGTCGAACTTCCCATTGAAGTATATTCTTGAATAGATTCAATACATTGCAACCATCCTAATGTAAAGGTAGCGTGTTAGAAGGAAAAAAAAAGGATTGTCAATATAAAGTGAATAGTATTGGTTCGTGTTTAACCTTTTTTAATTTACATGTTAAACTGGCCTATCAATATTTGTTTCATAAACATACAAATCATATAATTCACACTGAACAAAAAACTATTAAGTACATGACATATCTGAAAATCTTGATATACAGTGCGTATACAAAAAAATTGTACCCAACTTTGGTTGCTCCTAATTGAAAATTCATGACCAATATGACTTCGATATCTATTTTATGATGAAGAGTAACTTATGATCTGTCCGATGATACCCTATTCATATTATTTCTGCCACGAGTGACTAAGCACCAGGGTCTTTAAGAACCGATGTCAAAGTTTGGGCCTATGGAACGGATGTGGGTTAGGCCATATGCAGGTGCTCCTTTGGTCTTATATCCTTTTAAAACTTAAATTATGCCTCGTGCTTCATTGTTTAAAATGATCCAATGTCTCTAGGCTTTCACAGAACCTTGTTTCAAACCATATGATAAACGTTATTTTTTTGGAACAGCGTATACTACATCCTTGTCTCATGATATCTATGTTCTCTCTGCTCACTTCTCTTCTGCGCCATTTACACACGACTTATAATGAGCATAAGATGTTTATATCGAATAGCGGATGATAAGGCATCGGTTACTATAAACCAAAAATGCAAGATAGAACAAATATGATGATAAGTATCAAAGAAATTGGCAGTAGACTTTCATAAAAAAAGATAACTTTTCAAGCAAACTTGATCCATGTTGTATCACTCAATGAGAAAGCTTACATTAAAGAAGGTATGCGAATAACGTCAATATAATTGTAATCATCATAACACAGATAATTTCGCAAATGTTGCTGGTAATAACAATGTTCTTGATTTTTTATTATATTAACACCTTTTATTTTCAACTGCCTAACAGTCAATAAAAATAAGTGAGCAATTGTTTTTGTAATAAGATAACAAACACATAATGGCTTTGACCCACATTTAGTGCTTTAGCCCAAACTTGGTACAAGAGGATTTAATAAATAAGGTATCGCTTGAAAGGGTATAAGTTACCCTTGACTGTGAAATATAATCCAAGGTCACTTAGATTATAACTTTTTAATTATAAGCTACCAAAGTTAGGTACTCTTTTTTATACACACTGTATAACACAAAATATTGTAGGTCATGTAAAACAAAATGTAGGCACAAAGAAGATAACTAAACATGTTGTTTCACGTAAGTGAATTATAAATAGATAAAACAACGATGTTACAACTATTATATCCAAAGGAATAAAAACAAAACGATTTAAATATTCTTCTTTTTTTAATGGCACTAAATCGAAAATGAAAAGATATCAGGGTGATTATGTAGGCAAATTATTGGTTTGTTGACTATATTTGGCTATTCCGTGTTTAAATAGTCTAAAGGGGATATACTTGACGGAGCTCACTGAATCAGGCGCGGATCCACGTAGCGATTTTTCCGGCCCGGCCCCCCCCCCCCCAGCCCCCTCCAAAACTGTTTAAAAAAATAGGATAATAACGTAAATTTAACCTTTTTTTAACAAAAAACAAAAGCGGGCCCCCCCCCCCAACAAAAAAAAATTAAATATATTTTCTCCCCCCTCAAAAAAAATTAGTGGTTCTCCTCTCAAATCATCCCCCCCCCCCCCTTCCCCCGCTTATTCACCGGCCCGGCCGGCTGAGTCGGCGCAAAAAAAAAATTCTCAAGATTTGGGCCCCCCACCCCTCCTGTCGCCGGCTGGATCCGCCCCTGCACTGAATGCCAGCTACATGCTCACTATTGGATGTACACAATCATGGAGAAAACTGCTATGTAGCAACCAGACTCACAACCGTCCACAAACTATCATTACAAAGACATTTAAGCTTAAAGTTTATATTACAGAATTATATTTTTTGTCAATCGTTCATTTTCTCTAAGATTTTTAGTTTCTACGTCAGATTGAGTTGGTTTGTGATTAAACTTGTGTGCTCTATGTCCCTACATGATAACAATTTATCTTGTTTAGAATGCTTTAATTTGTTTGAAAACGTTGATAATAATAGTGATTGTAACCATGTCCAGTTTTATTGCTATTGTTATCTCCCACTTTGCCGAGAGTGTTCAACTTTATTGACAAAGTGAGACTTGGTAATTATATGACTTCAATAAGTACACACGAGTTAAGATGAAGTAACTAACCTAACATGGCGATTATACCGCATGCAACCCATATAACGAGACTCATTCCCACACTCTCTGTTGAAGCGAGTACTCCTTTGGGTGATACAAAGATTCCTGATCCGATCATCGATCCGACCACGTAAGAGAAAGCTCCTAATAACCCAACGTCTCTTTTCAGCTTCACACCTTCGCCATTGTCGACAGCGTCGATGATCTCAATGGCTTTTTCATTGTACGGTGTTAGTCCATTTTCATTCTCAGATTCAAAACCATGGTTGGTCTCCCCCTTCTTTCGCTCCTTTAATTCCGTCATATTTCCACAACTCCTATTCAACGATCGACTGTCACAATTATAATTCTCTAACAGGTTTCTTATGTTTAAAGTGCTAACAATCAAATATTAGACGGTCCATTTCAACACGCTAATGTCCACAAACGAAATTGCCAGGGCCCGGAAATGATCAATTCCAGTTGAATTCGTCCCATAAACGAACGCTGATGTCGATGGTCTTGATACTTAATGAAACAACAAGCACGATCCATATCAATCATTACTAAATAAACTGCTAGACGGTCACGTGATAAAAGGAGACGCACACACACACACACACACCCACGCACACACACACGAAACACACACATCAACTCGAACACCAGTATTCGTCATACAGAGCGATAAGATACGATTAAGTTCGTATATTTCTTCTTTGATTTTATTGGGGCTGCACTCATCACTAAGACGATTTAATGTTACATAATATTAATCTGATAATCTGCTAGGTTACCGATGTCGATGCTCACAGCATTCAAGGTATTCCTTCTTACCAGTACCTATTTAACATCAGATTCTGGGTGGAGAGTAGTTAATATGGATTAATGTCTTCCCAAAGGACAAAAGTGCCGGGTCAGGACTCGAACCGCGAACCATGTGATCAACAGTCTGATTAGATATCCACTAGACCACGCATAGGGCAATCTCTACTTTCTAGGCTATACAAAATAATCGGTCTTTACGCTGCCTTGTATAGATGCAAGGCAATCTGTAATATTATTCAAAACGTATTAGTAAGCTGAGACTACATTGTTTGTTTACCCAAGCTAGAGAAATACAGAGTCCACACAGAGCCAGCAACGGAGATGGGGTTTGTTCTTTAAAGGGGGTGCTACGAAAGGGCAACTCTTTTGAAGGGGCCGCCCTTGATATTAAACATCATCAAAAGTGAGAGTTGGAGCCCCAGCCGGGCACTAACGTCCTTTGTGAAGACGTTAATTCATATTTGCCACTCTTAAAGGTACTGTGTCCCATGTGCAGGCCAAAAAAAAATGAAAAGTTTACATTCCAACGGCATTTGAAAGAAAATACTAATTTAGAACTTCCCTTAAAAAAATGGGGGGGGGGGGGGGCTTGAACATATCTTTAAGAGGAGAAAAAAAACGTTTATTAGTTGTCAAATCGACTTAAGTGCTACCAGGTCAGTAAGTAATAGCTTAATTTCAGACAATTGTACCAAATGGTTGTACGTTTTGCACATTTAATTTTGGCCATGACAAGAAGTGTGTTATTGATGTAGACGAATTCTCATTTTGTGTATGTTATTAGTTATTACCAAAGAAGGAAAAGGCCAGTCAGTTACTCAATAGTGTCTGACAGTGAAGTCTAGCAAGTAAACGGGTTTCCTTGCATAATTTAAATATTAGGACACTGCTAACGTTTCAATTCCACAGATAGGAGATACATTACAAATTCATAATTCCTGGAAAGTTGTACAGAATTTGATGTTGGCTGCAAAAGGGACATAGCATCTTTAACCCAGGTGTAAATGGGAACCTGTCAATTGCTGGGGCAACAATAATTGCCGCGCCCTCAGGAAGAAAAAAAACCCATTTATGCTGATGAAGCTTCCGGGGTAGTAGTAGTATTAGTATTAGTCTTAGTAGTAGTAGTAGTAGTAGTAGTAGTAGTAGTAGTAGTAGTAGTAGTAGTAACAGCAGTAGCAGCAGTAGTAGTAGTAGTAGTAGTAGTAGTAGTAGTAGTAGTAGTAGTAGTAGTAGTAGTAGTAGTAGTGGAAGTATTAGTAGAAGTAGTAGGAGAAGTAGTAGAAGTAGTAGTAGTATTTGTATTTTGTATTTATTAACATTTATTTCCTTCTTAGCAGTACAATACGAAACACAATGTATATATTATGTAACAATAATTTCAACATAGAGTACACAGTAAATAATTCAAATATTAAACAGAAGGAGGCGAAAACCCGAACAGCATAGCTTGAGTTGAACGCCCATAAGTAGCAGTAGTAGTAGAATTAGTAGTAGTAGAAGTAGCGGTAGTAGTAGTAGTAGTAATAGTAGCAGCAGTAGTAGTAGTAATATTAGTAGTATTAGTATTAGTATTAGTAGTAGTAGTAGTAGTAGTAGTAGTAGTAGTAGTAATATAGTAGTATTAGTAGCAACAGTAGTAATTAGTAGTGGCCTATGTATTATTTGTAGTAGTAGTGTTATTATTATTATTATTATTGATCTCATTGATATTATTATCACGTTCTTGTTGATTTAAAGTTGCTAAATGATCAGTTAGAGAAAAAAGAAAAGAAAACGACCAGAGTTTGATTTCCCTGTGTGATTAAAAGTGCTGTGAAAACTCAATGTTTCACACTGGGAAATAAAAATGTTGTTTTCAGGGGCTTCACGACCTAACACGATTATGATAATTCTGTGACCAAAGGCACTGTAAATTGCACAGATTGTTATACTGATAAAGTGAAATATATTCGTATTCGGGGAAGGAAGACTCATTAGGAATATGCCCCCGTAGACCCTTCCAAGCTCGGTCACTACGCGTTCTCGAATCTCGACCTGAAACATCTCAAAGCTTGGTGCGAGTGCGTATTAGTACTGCAAATATTTATCATCGCAAGTACTCATAAGTCCTGTGTATTTATACAATTCTGCATACACTTCATCCTTTAGAGTTCAATTTGACCTAATTTCTCAAATGAGATGAAAAATTCAGATAGCGTACTAAAGTGGATGTCGGCATGTTTGTCTTGAGGTATCTCTAATTTGTAAGCAAAAGGGGACGAAATTATTTTTGTTCTTCTCTAATTCCTAAACTTTGTTCCCTTGCTATTGATCTATCATGTTTTGTTTGAGACCTCTGCAAATAAATTAGTTACAAAATTGGTGAGCAGAAGAATGGAATTATGTCATCAATCCGGCACCTTATACAACCCTTCCTCCGGATAACAAACCGTAAGAATCAGAACCTTCAATCATGATGTCATTGGACCAGATTAGACTTAAATCACTTATCTTGCACAGTGTTTTTTAATAAATTGTTATTTTTAGTGCCCTTGTATGGGTTGAGAATCATTCCAAAATAAGACATGATTGTCGAGTACATCACCTTGGAAACTTAATTACCAGAGGCATAAATCATATAAAAGGTGGGTGCATGCATGAGAATTCTTTTTGAAATTCGAAACAAGCATCAAAAAGTTGTTTGGTGTATCAATCCCTCGTACTTCAATACAGGAATTAAAATACTTTATATTACAGTATCATAGCAAAACAAAATTGTTATTTGAAAATAACGTCTTACAAATTTGGATAAAAACACATGCGTTGAACCAATAAAAGAGTTGGCATTTTTGGGTACATTATGTTAAACGGTGTCGCTTACTCAGGAGTTCCATAGGTACATTTATGAAAACGGTGTCGCTTACTCAGGAGTTCCATAGGATTTTTGTAATAGGGTGTACTTACATTTGTTGGATACATTAAACATACGTATGTAAAATAAAAGGCGTAATGCAACTTCGTTGGTGTCGGTAAGTAAATAATTTGTTTCCCTCTTTTAGTTGACCTTCACAATGATAATGACCTTCAAGATAAACAAAAATGAATATGTACATATACTTTTTTTTACATACTTTCTATAATAAAATATGTAATACCTTTGTTTATCTTTCTGTTGGAAATGAAATAAATTCGAATTAAAATTAAATGTAATTGAATAAGCATGTCTTATACAACGGATTTGTGTTTTTGTTCATTTTTTGTTTCATATTCCTGACTACTTCTTAATACTTACTTTGCAATAATCAGCTTTCCTTTTCCATCACTCTTCCATTAAATTTTTTTTTTATTTGGCTAAAGAACAAGATGTTGTCGTGTTTATTTGTGCGAAGGATGCACGCGCTGTACATTACGTCTACGAGTAAAGTCCATGCAGAACAAATTGTGACTCGTTCGCACATAATTTTTATTATGTACGCCCATAAGTGGCTCTTATACAAATTGAAAACATAATGGATATTTTTAATATCTTGCACTTGATCTGTCCCCAGGCAAACTAACGGGCGTTGATTCCTACATTTTGGAGTGGTTCATATAGCTTTTATCGTGTGTCATAGTTTAGATGTAATATAATGATATTCGCGTGGGATCGGTTTTTCAGGTTACACAACTTACGTGAAAATAAACCCCCATATACAGGAAAGTTCGGGCGCGTCACGTTATGGAAAGGTCGGGTAAATTGAATGCAAATAATCAGGGGTTTTTTTTCTTCAAAGATGGTCCTTGTATAAGGATAATCTATTTACATGGATATTATTATCAGCAGAGGCGGCGCTCCCGGGGGCAGGGGGCACAGTGCCCCCCCCCCCCCACACACATGTTTTCAATTACCCCCAAATTGCCCCTTTTTACTTTGTAAGAAGTGCTCCTTTTTACACAAAAAGTGCCCCTTCCCCTTTCCACCTCTGATAAGTGCCCCTTTTATTTTGACGCTTACCCCTTTTCCTTCAACAAGTTTTTATTTTATATATTTTTATTTATTTTATTTCCAGGCAAGTTGATAACATACAAAACATCACAAGGTTTGGCAAATGATATAACATACAAATCTTATACAATGTATAAAGATCAACAAATATTGAAATCATCCCTGATAATGTATTCACGATATAAGGGTATGTACCAATGTTTTGTTTTAATAGATATTTTCGCTTTGAGAATTCCCTTTGTAGTTGCCCTTTTTTTCTTCAGAAAGTGCCCTTTTCTGTTGGTGCCCCCCCTAATTTGGAAGTCGCTCCGCCGCCTCTGATTATCATAATATTACACAAATAATGAAGACAAGAGTATCCGATACTTCCAAATTGTTCATCAGCTTCAAGCACTTTTAGGGAGGTTCAAATTATTATGAGTGACTTTGAAAAGAAATACATGTCTAATTCAATTCAATATATTCAATTCCATCTTTAAACACCTAAAAGATAGGAGACAGGAATATTGAGGAAAAATGAGCCAATTCTATTTCTTTAAAGGGTCAGGAAAATATACCAGGAGCCCTTTAAACAAGGTGATAACTCGAGGTGAGCTAATTTTGTCAGGCATCTTCCCGATAAATTTGAACCGCCCCACACCATGCCCACACCCACCTACCAGTTTTCAGGTCCATTTACGACTTATATTAGATCTACAAAATGTAGAGGATGACAATCCAGTATCCCCTCCCTTTCATATCCATG